TTAGATATGTAAATACATAAGAATTATATGATATGGATATAAAAAAATGTCATGATTTTGGCACAAAAATTATTGGTTTGCTTGATCTATTGGTTAGTTGATGATAGTCTAATGAAGACCGTTAATGGAGAAGTTTTTCATTCTTGAATTTGATCTTTTGAAGTTCTCATTTTTGCGATCTTAATTCTTTGATGGATATGAATTATAATGTTCAAAATATCCCAAGTGAATGAAGTATCTTAGAAGACAGTAATTTTGGGAATATGTAAGGATAAAATTTGGGGTTGTGGGTATTCAAAATAGTTTTTGTTCTTTTTCCTAACATAATCACCACTGCGAACAAAACCAAAAAAATGGCCTATGGGGAAGCATCAAAATCATCAACTAAGCATATCAAATCGAAAACCACCAAACCAAGCAAAGAGAGAAATTAGGGGAGAGGAAACCAACAGTCAAATCAAGAACCATTGCACATTAGCATTTGTAGAATCATAAAGCCGCGTAATTAATAAGTCAAAGATTACCGAAACTGAGAGGGGAGGTAAAAGATGGACTACAACACAAAGCACATAAGACGCACAACCACCAAACCAAGTCGAAGAAGAGAAGGGACAGAGAGAGAAAATAACAAACTCGTCGCAATAAACACCAACTAAAGAAAGGGAACCACCGCACAGAGCACAAAGTGCACAGAACCACCCAATCGAGCAGAAGAAAAAAGAGAAGAGGGAAAAATTTGTAAGAGTCACCGGAACAACCACCTGCAACTAACAAAAGCCAGTCATAAACAACGCCTCGCCACAGAAGTCCTAGATCAAAGGGGATCTAGAGAACAAAATTTAGGGCAATAGTTACGTCGAGAGAGCCGCAAAAGAACAAGAGGGCAGCCACATATGGAACACAAAAGGGCAACCACGTAAGATAAAATCGAATGCGAACCTGCCACCCTTGTTTCGATTGGATTTATTAAAATGCCCACGCTACAAAAGAATCCAAATAGCCCAAACAGTGGTCAGAGACCGCACCACAATAAAACTGGCGCCTCAAATGGCCCCTTGCAACACTTAGGATTTATAATGAATTATTTCAACTTATATAAGTTTCAATTTTGTCTCCCAACAAAAATAAATAGGTATTAGATCGAATAATATTGTATTAAGACAAGTTCTTAAAATGAGTCAAAACCTTATTAAGTGATGCGGCCCCACAACTCAAACTTTGTTATTGACAAAACAACTCAAACAAACATCTTGATAACCATAATCTATTGAGCTAAACATGCATAATAGATCATTCCAATGGTGATTAAAATTTGTGTAATTCATACCTAAGTTGCTAATGAACAAAAAAATCATCTTTATATAAATGAATCAAACTCAACAAAATAAGCTTAATCGGACATATTTAAAAAATAATGCTTTTGACAAATTGAGAGCTTGATAAACTCAAGTTGAGTTAAACTTCTTTAAGCTCCGGGTCAAATATGGACTAAGTTTAAACAAATGGACTTTTGTGCAAACAAACCAGAAGAGAGGGAGAGGGAGAGGGAGAGGGAGAGGGAGGCGATGCCCACCCTAACGCGGCTCTATTCGATGCAAGAAGCCGCGCAGCACAGCACGAGAGAGGACTGCTGGGTCGTCATAGATGGCAAGGTTTGTATCAGATCTACAACCATTTCCCTCATTTTCTTTTGAATTATGTTGTTCTTGATCTCGGATTACGGCCCCGTTTGCTTGATGAGATTAATCTGTCTTTGATCTGAAGAATAATGTATAAGATTTGCAGTCCCTTTGGTCCGCTGCGTTCCTGTTGGTGCATCATTAGGGTTAGGGTTCAGTGATTTAAAATTTTAATCTTGGTTTAGAATTTTGCTTAAAATTTTGATTTTTCATGCTATTGTAGGCTTGAAATTTTGTGAACAACTCTGCACATTTTCTCTAAATGTTTCTCATTTTGCTAATACTTACATACATGATACTTGCCACTCAATTTCTATGTATTGATATGGATAACATCTAAATTTTGCTTTTTTTACATTTTTTAATTTCTAAATCTTTCATAATACATAAAAAGTTCCACTTTCTTAAGTTTTAAAAAGTGAAATACATAGCTTCATATATGTGAAAATTGAAGTTTAGGTGATAGATATGTAAATACATAGGAATTAAATGGTATGCATGTAAATCTTCCTAAATTATATTGGTTGATACGTACTTGGATGAAAATGACCTTCTTAATGCTTTTGAACTGTATGCCTTAATCTGGTTAGCCTTTACAGAGTTTCTGACGTAAAATCATGTGGAGAGATGCACAAAGTGAGCCTATTATGTGTTGCAGTATAATGAATGAATATTTTGATATTTTGATTTATTTATGAGCTGCAATCTTATCAGAGAAAATTATATTTTAAAATAGTGGTGAATTTATGTCTTAATTCAGTGAAGTAAATGATGTGATAATGGTAGTTATGCAAATTTTATTTTTTTTATTTTTTCTAGTCTACCTGCAAGCTAGTCAACAATGGCAATCAAATTAAGAAGATTGCAACTATTTGTTAGCTAAGGGAAGTTCAAAGGTCATTTATCTAAGTTCAAACTTGATTTGAAGGTTCAAGCATCAATATTTCAAGTTCTTTCTCAAGTTCAATGTGAATTCATGATTTGAAAGGTTAAAAAATTTTAGATTATTAGATACATACCATTCAATTCTTATGTATTTACATATCTAACACCTAAACTTCAAATTTTACATACATGCCACCTCATCTATGCATGTAAAGGTGTATATCACTTTTTAAAAGTTAAATTTGTGGTATTTTTGTGATATGAAAATTTTGGGTGGTGTAATTGTAAACGGTAAACTTTTGTTGTTTGATGTGTAAATACATAGGGATTGTGTGGTATTGTACATTAAAAAATAATCTACATGGATCTCGAGGCAATCCAACAGTCTAGATAAGGAGACCAAAATACCCAAAATAACCTGTACTACCCTCCTTAAAGCAAGGACAGTTGTAATTTATATTTCTTTACCTTTTATCTTCTATAAATAGATGATTCATGACATGTATTAAAGGGTCATTGGGCTCTTCTCTTTCAATCCGCCAGGTAGGGAAACTCTCTCCCCTTCCCCTCTCTTGTAACTTTTATTTTCCAAGGAATAAAATGAGTCAAAGAGTCCGGGAACACCACTCTTCACCCCGATGGGACATGCCTTGCTCTCCTCATCTTCTCCTCCCTATCTCTTTCTCTTCTTTTTCCTCGGTCTCTATGCTCTATGCCTTAAGCATGATCTCTTTCAATCCGCCAGGTAGGGAAACTCTCTCCCCTTCCCCTCTCTTGTAACTTTTATTTTCCAAGGAATAAAATGAGTCAAAGAGTCCGGGAACACCACTCTTCACCCCGACGGGACATGCCTTGCTCTCCTCGTCTTCTCCTCCCTATCTCTTTCTCTTCCTTTTCCTCGGTCTCTACGCTCTATGCCTTAAGCATGATCGTCCAGCTTTGGATTCAACATGTATGTATGAAAATGCCCTAAAAAAGAAATAGAAATAACTGGAACTCTAAAGATTTGCGATTTGCTTCTTCCATTGCCATTGTTAAATTCAATCAAGGAAGCAACTGTTAGTGAAGGTTCCATGGAATCATCTGTTCAAGTGCTTGGATCTTTAATCATATTGTCTGTATATTTACAGATTATCTTGTACTTCTGTACATGATGAATTTATTTTTCCATTCTTCCTCTTTGAAGAGCAAAGAGATGGAAAATGGCTTTCTTTTTCCATTGTTTTACTGAAAATTGTTTAAATGGGGCAGTTACAAACAATGCCCGCAATTTTTATGTAATTACTCCTAAACTTGCATATTTACTCACATAGCACTCAAATTGTTAATGAGGCATTTACATACATAACACTCAAAACTATTCAAATTACATATCCCACACCTAAACTTCACTATTTACCGCCATCATTTCCAAAATATTTGATTTAAAACAAAAAAAGAAAAGAAAAAAATCACCCTCTTTTAAAACTCTTTAACCTTGTTGCCCATCTTCGCATGCAACTTCGCACAAGATAACTCTGGCGAGCTACTTGCCAACTTAGAAATGATTTTGTTTTTCATTGAAGACTTACCTTTTATATGTTAGGCATGAGATATATAATTACATAAGAATTATGTGCCACAAATGCAAATTTCTCTTTTTAAAATATATGATAAAGTCTACTATACTAGGTAAGAATTGCTTGTCTTTAACCATGCACTAACTTATTCCTTTGTTGCCTATATGTCTTGAGTGATGATACTGCTAATAAACTTACAGAATCTCTTGTTCTTATGAACTGATTCTTTATCGTCTTTTTTTCGGCAGGTTTACGATGTAACAAAGTATTTGGATGATCACCCTGGAGGAGATGATGTTCTCATATCGGCTACTGGTATTTCAAAATTTCTTTTTTCTTGTAAATTTTTATTTGCAAATATGTACGGGTTCTTCAAATATTAGGAAGATTTACATACATATCGCTCAATTCCTATTTACATTTTAACGCATAAACTTCCATTGTTACATGCATGAAAAAGTGTATTTCCTTTTTATTTAAGTTAAAATGGTGGTATTTTCTTATGTTACATGAAAGATTTGGGCGACATAAATGTCAAAAAGTAAAATTTAGGTGTTAGATATGTAAATTAATAGGAATTTAATGGTGTGTATGTAAATGCCCTTAAATATTATTTAGTATGATTACTATCAAGGCTAAAATCCCTCGGGTTGCGGCTACTGAAATTCAAAGTAAGTCGGTTCACCCTCACCCTCTTTTGGTTCATTTAGTCTTATTTTGATGTTGTTGATGTCCAAATGTTATAAAAATTAAGAAGATTTACGTACATACCACTTAAATCTTATGTATTTCCATATTTAACACCTAAACTTCAATTTTTACATATATGCTGCCTTATATATCGATGAATAGTTGCATTTCACTTTTTAAAGGTTAATAGTAGTATCTTTTATGTGTTATGAAAGATTTGGGTGGTTTAAATGTAAAAAAGCAAATTTTAGGGGTTAGATATGTAAATACATAAGAATTGGGAGGTATGTATGTAAATGCCACTAAGAACTTAAACTTTCATCATACTTACACTTGTATCAGTCTACCTCAATTTTAAAGGGGATGGGATGGTGGATTGTTGATAGATAAGCATGATACAAGTCATTAAATGTGCCACTAATCATCATTAAAGAGCATTTTATCATGCAAATATGTTGATGAATTTACATACATACCACCCAATTCCTATGTATTTACATATCTAACACCTGAACTTCACTTTTTCTATATATACCACCCAAATCTTTCATATTACATAAAAAAATACCACTACATTAACTTTTAAAAGATGGAATACACATTTTCATGCATAGATGAGTTGCTGTGTATGTAAAAATTGAAGTTTACTGGTTAGATATGTAAATACATAAGAATTGGGCGGTATCTTCCAAACAACAAACAAGAACCTGCCTTGGGCACTTGAGTCTTTAGCTTTTCATTAGCATGAGTCCAAAACACCTTGAAGCCATTAATGTCTACAATATATTCATTTCTGCAAACTTCAATTGAATTTTGGGGCATTTACATGCACAGCACACAATTCTTATGTATTTACATATCACACACCTAAATTTGCATATTTATACATATAACACTCAAATCTTTAATATCACATCAAAATTAGCTCTATTATGAAAAGGTACGTTCAATCATTAAAAAGTGGTAATAGAACTAATTTTAATGTGATAGTAAATATTTGAGTGTTGTGTGTGTAAATATGGAGTAAATATTACGTACATATAAGATGTGTGTGGATTGGTAGTATTCTGGTGTTATTGTGATGATATTATATCGCAATATCATCAAAATATTACAAAAATAGCACATACTGCAGTGTTCGAATAGTGTTTGTGTTGATATTGTACTGCAATACCACCAAGATACGAACAGAATAACACATATTATAGTATTCTGGTGGTATTTGTGATGTTATTATACCGCAATACCACCACAATACAACCAGAATACCACCAATCCACACCTACAGTGTCCTGCACAATATTTTCTCGTAAACACGAAAGTTTTGGTGTGAGATATGTAAAATTCTTGAAATTCGTGTGCCACGCATGCAAATTTCCCTCAAATTTTTAAGCTAAAATCTCTCATTTTGCTCCATGAAGGCAGAGACTCAACAGAAGAATTTGAAGACGCAGGGCACAGCAAAACTGCCAGAGAACTCATGAAAGATTACTGCGTGGGAGAGATTGATAAATCTCATGTAAATGTGATTTCTGAGCTTGAGATATTCACAAAGGAAAAACCTTCGAACTATGAATTGTTCAATAGTCCCACATTGCTTAATTGGCTTCTGCCTGCAGCATTAGTTGGCCTTTCTGTCTTGGCAGCTGCAGTTTTCTATACACGGAAGAAGTGAAGAGTTTTGGAATGATTCAAACATATTTGCATTTTTTGACCCTATAGAAAGCATTATGTAATTCTTAATCTCAAATATGAGAAGATTTTTTTTACATGCATATTCTTGATAGAACTGTGTTATAGATTCTTGTCCTGATATGTATGTTTATACAATTACCAATATAATATGGGAAGATTTGCATACATATCACTCGATTTCTATGTATTTACACGTATAACACCTGAACATCGATGTTTACACATACGACCTTACGTGCATATAAAAGGGTGTATTTCATTTTTTAAAAGTGAAATATGTATATCTATATCTATATAGGGTGTTATATCACAGGTTGTGTTAATCTAAACTTAGATATAAACATATATAATGTATTATTATATATATATATATATGATTTTCTTATTTTGTGATAAAATGAGTCTAACACAACTGAACAAAGAGTTATTCATGTCTGGTTTTTTTATAATTCAAGCTTAAAGAATGATTCAAAGACGAGTTATTTAACAAGCCAACACGAGTTATTTGTAAACAACGAGCTTTTTTGACAGCTCTATCTATCAGTTACACAAATGATCTTTTATTTATAAATAAATTAAAAAAATTACATACATTACTTTTCATTAAGTTGGTTTTACAATCTAACACTCAAAACTTCAATTTTTACGTGCCTACCATTATACCTATGCATGAAAAGATGTATTTCATTTCTAAATATTAAAATGGTAATGATTTTTACGTGATATGAAAGATTTGGGCGGCATGAATTTTATGGAAATTTACGTACAAAACGCCCAATTCTTATACATTTACCTTTCTTACACCCAAATTCTCATTTTTACAAAATCAACACCCTAATTATAGATGAAAAATATGAATTCTACTGTTGGAGAGTGGTGAGAAAGATAAATTGGGCTGTGCATGTAAATTCCCCTAAATTTAATAGTAAAACTTAGGTGGTAGATGTGTAAATACAAAGGAATTGGGTGGTATGTTTGTAAATGTCTCTTCCAACTATTTGCACTGTTCTGGTAAAGCTTAAAACATCACTACTTCTTTAAATCCAAACGGTTGCCTGAGAATTATATGAAGACTTATGGATATATGTTTATAAGAGAATACCAGATGATTTCAGCGCATTGTCTAAATTTTACTCTATATGATTAGGCACATGAACATATAAAACATTCATCACTATGAATGCAACATATGTGAAAATACAAGACATGAGATTTATACATATAAATGGTATATTTCTAAGATTTGATCGACCCAAAGCTTATATTCATACAACAACAATAACAAGCCTTTATCTCGCTAAACGCGACCCGCAGGGTTCGACCCTCGGCCCGCGTCGCTAAACGCGACCCGCAGGGTTCGACCCTCGGCCCGGGTCTAGTGTAAAAACCCAACCGCATTTTCGGATAAGCTGTCGAAACGTATTTTCCAAACGGTAATGCAGCGTGTTTTAAAAACGTCGAGCTGCCCCAAACGGGGCCTAAGATATGTTCTGAAACTTGTTAAATGCATCAAAATTTCAAGTCCATGTCTAATTATTGACTAAATAACAATGATAATTTAGCACAAATTACACAAATCTGACGCATGTAGAGCTCAGCCAAACTCACAAATCTCAAAATTACAAAATTAGACTCAATATTTCTCTCAAATTTGGGCATAAAAATTTACACTTCACTCATTATCTGAATAATTGAATTTTATGGAGTGTGATTGTAAATCTATCTGCCCTCCCCTGTATGATCCCCGTTTTTTCTTGGTCTTCTCATGCCTGAAATCCCTGCAAATTCATGCAAAACAATTAGAAGAATTGCCATCCATTCTCAAATGTAATGACCAAGCATTCAGAAGGTTTAGCAAGATTTTGCATGCATACCCACTTAATTCCTATGTATTTACATATCTAGAAGTTAGATATGTGAATACATGGGAATTACGTGGGTATGTATGTAAATGCCTCAAAGTTTAAATGAATGAAGAAACTGAATGATGCTGAACCATGTAGGTGCACTGTGAAATCCGTGTTACACCGTTGCTAGTCGAGTTCGGATTGAATCGAGCCATCCTAGAGCTAGACTAGACTCGCCTGATAGCGGCTACGGCTTTTATAAATGTGATTATAAGAGTGTGGGGAACATAACATTTAAGAGAGTTACAGTGAGAATTATAAATGTATATTTTTGTTATATTTTACGAGATCTGGTTGCAAAAAAAATTATTTCACACCAAAACAAATTTTCAAGAAGCAGTTCTCATGACACACTCGGAAAACTATCTCAAATAGACTCATAAGCAATGATGTTTACGTATGTGCCACTTAACTTGTGCGTATTTATATATCTAACACCTAAACTTCATTTTTTTACACTTTGACATCTTGCGTATGGATGAGGTTTATTTCGTCTTTTTGAAGTTAAAAATGGTGATATTTTTATGTGATATGAAAGATTAGGGCGGTATAAATGTAAAAGGTAAATTTTATGTGTTAGATGTATAAATTCATAAGAATTGTGTGGTATGTATGCAAATTTCTGAACTTTTACCTAAAAGAACAGTCATCTTAATGTAGTTCAAAAGCATCCTTAATCTATCTATCTAGCTTCCTACAACTTCTAAAAACAGAATAAGAAAGTAAAAAACAATCTTACCAAATGAAATAAAAAGCACATAGAAAAAGGGGCTTTTACATACATATCCCAAACAATTCTTATGTATTTACATATATAACACCTAAACTTTCATATTTACATAAATAACACTCCAATTTTAAAAGCATGTCAGAAACACCACTACCACTAACTTTTAAAAGCGAAGTACACATTTTCATGCATAGGTTCATCACACCGAAGTGCTGGAAATGTATATATCAAAATTTAGGAGAAACATGTAAAATACAAATGAATTATGTGGTATGTATGTAAATTTCCAAAGAAAAAAAATAGGGAAATATACACACAACAATCAGGTTGATGAATAGTACCTTCCTTTAACTTGACCCAGAACTTCTTGAGCCTTTGCACCATAACCAGATCCTGAATCATCCTGTTAATTATATCCAAGGGATCAAAGAGGTGAGCATGGGATGGAATTGTAAATAAAAGTTGTGTGGGGCCACCGGTCCACCAGTCACGTGACCAAATGGAGGCCTCACATGACATTTAGAATGGAGATGAAGAAAAGGAAGCTAGAAATTATCAACAGAATATGGAATACTAATATGAATTAATTTATATTAAAAAAAATAATAATGAAACAGAAAATGGAATACCAGAGCCCAATAGGAATTGTCCTGCAGCCTTTCATTAGCAAACTGGACTTCATCAACTTTTACTCTTTGAAATGCATAAAAAAAAAAAAAAGTTAGGCAGCTAAAAGACCAAATAAAAAATAGCATGCATAGTTTGCCAAAGAAGCATTCATCAGGGGAAACAATAAATTAGTAGAATGAAATGTTCAATTTTTGTTCAGACATACAAGTATCTTATCCTCCATAGTAGGATAAGAGATGAAGATCAAGGATAAAATTATTACATGTACTTATTGGATCAATTTTTGATGACTCATTAGGTGATAAAAATGGGATATCTTTTATTTGACACATGAATTTTATAAACACATGATCAACAATGGTCGATTTTATAGGTAATATAAGTTGGATAATCTTTTTAAGGACAACATAAATGCAATAAATACATAAGTTAATAAAACTCGAGAAATATAACTTTTTTGATGAAGCCGGAATACATGAACCTTGGAAGCACAGACACTTCTAAATGACTTTCATGTAAATATCAAACATATGGCTCTGACATGCCCCAATTAAGGGGGAGAAATTAGCTAGATGCCGCTCAAAAGCCGATTCGAATGTTGGCTCAAATCTAGATTGGATTGAAGTGAGTCGAGCTATGAGCTGAAACCATAGTTTAACTTTTTTCAAGCAATTTAAAGCCCTACACAAATCGGTTTGAAATTCCTTTTTTTATTATATAACACACACACACACACACACATTGAAAATGTGTCGATGTTGATCTTGACGAGAACTACCAGAGGAGGGGTGAACGATAAAGGAGGGCCCACTGACATAAGATTAGAAGGCCACTTATCCTTTTAGATGTAGTCGTTCGAGCCAAAGCAAACAAGGCCAACGCCGCCTAAGTCACGAAAGATGACTAAATGATCCGAATCAAAGTCGTTCCGCCAGAAATAAAACAAAGAGACATCCAAGCAAACCGACATGAATAAACTGACTAAAGAGAAGATCTAGCCCCTCAGCTTCTCTAATAATACGTGGGGTGTCCAGAAGCTCCACCATCTATTATTAAGGTTCGACAGTTATACTGACTCAACAGACCGAGCCAATTATGTCGATCCGAAGCCAATGGATCTTAGCTGACCGACAACACAAACTAAGCCCAACCCATCGAGCCGGCCTTGCCGAACCGAAGCCATACAAACTCAACCGAATGAGCCAAAGAGCAGTCAAGCTATAGACTCATACCTATAAAATACTTAAAATATCTTGCACAAACCCAATCAAAGCAGAGGCAAAAATATAAGATCATCATATTGTGCTCTTCCCAAAAAATAAGATCATTCAATGTACAAAGGAGGGCAGATACACCCAAATTTAACCAAAAAGGTCGGGAAAAGTCAATATGATTTATATAATTTACTTCTCGCCCTTCTCTCTCTCTCTGTATCTCATACTTACGCTCTATTCCTTGGGCTGATTAACAAACAAATCGGGATTCAAAATCATAAATGATGCAGCGAGCATGGATCATACCGCAGACAAGAAGAAGATCCTCTAACAGAGACACCAATACTATGGAGTGTGGCAGAGAGTTTGTGAATCAGCAGATCCAAGAGCTGAATGATCAAATATTGGATGTCATCCGAGAGGCACTGGCTCAAGAAAGAGAGCAGCATCCCCGAAAGAAATAGTTGGCGTCCAACAGCTAAAAAGCCTACCTAGCCTTGGAAAGAGAAGAAGACTCCCAGTACTTCGATAATGTTGGGTCGACATCGATCAACTGACACCGGTTCGGGCATATTGAGGCATCCTGACAGTCATAGATTGTGTTGTCTCGATAAATCTCTGAAGTCCAGCCCTGGAAAGGTTCAAAATCCCAGCATTAGAGTCCTATAGGTGTGGGACTGGTCCGGCCAATCACATAGCCCCGTTTGATTCGATTGTATATGTTGAGAATCGCCAACTTGTTCAAATGTTATCTCCTCTTTATCATGTTGTGTGAGTCGGCTCTTAGGTTGTTCAATGCATTGTCTTCAAGAGTGATTATGTCGTTCACTGACTTTAAGCAAATGTTTGTGGCGTGGTTTGTCAACGACCTAAAGCCCCAAAAAAATTCGCAGGCCCCCCGCAAATTCAATAGGGACAGAACAAGAGCTTTCACTCGTTCATCACTCGCCTTCAAAATGAGATATTGGAAGTGCAAGACCTAGAGCACGTCCTCAGAAAGACTCGCAGGCCCCCCACAGAACCAATAGGGATAGAACGAGAGCTTTCACTCACTTCCAAAATGAAATATTGGAAGTGCAAGACCTAGAGCACGTAGTAGCTCATATCACCCTAGCTCAAGGATTGGGAGGACCCTTCAGGTACGCATTGGGTTTACAACAACGGTTTACAGCGACCGATGACACTGGTCGAGGGATGTACACTCCCCTAGTTCAACCACATATTAGGTGAAAAGTATAACTTCACCCCTGACTCCCCTAGAGCAAAGTCTTTCACTCGTCGCCCGTAGAAGAGGGCCCCCAAAGGCGACAAGTGGAGACCGAGAGATGATTCACATCCTTCCGCCCATTCACGATACGAAGACACTCAACCACTTTGGAACCATAGGGCGACCGATATGGCATACAACTGGGGGACTCAGACTCAATATCCTAACCAACGACCTACTCGGTACAATAAGTGCATACTGTCCAAACATGAATTATCCAAGAAGATTATGCTGAGAGTTTCGATGACAGAGATAATAAAGGTCATTCAAAATAAAAAATACTTTAAGAGAGTGCCCCGATGAAAACCAGAGCCTACCTCTAGGACCCCAAGAAGTATTGAGCCTAACATCAAGACTATGGCCAAAACACAAAGGAATGAAAACACTTCCAAAGCCAAATCGAGGAGCTAATCAAGGCGAAAAAGCTGAGAGAATTTGTAGCTCCAGTAGTTGGAGATACATCTCGTCGAGCTAGCCATAAGAGGCTTTGGTCGGGAGAATTATGCACCGCCACCATTGATCCTAAATGCAACTCACATCCCCCCATTGGTTTCACCAACGAAGATATGCCCCTAAGGGAAATCGCTACAACAACGTCATTGTCGTCACTACATTGATCAACAACTACCAGATTTGTAGCATCCTTATCAACAATGCAACTCATTGAACATCCCATTCAAATCAGTTTTCGATAAGATGGGTCTCGACTGACTTACCCGACAGCAGACCCACTCTATGACTATTCTAGCAAAAGCGCTAGAAACCATCGCGTTGTCAGTTATTTGGGCTCAAAATGATAAAAGTTTACTAACATAGAGGACTTCCTGGTGGTTGACTCGGCACCGACTTAAAATGCAATCTTCGACCGCCCCTTGCTCAACTCTTTCAAGGCCGTTACCTAGACTTATCACATGCCAGCGAAGTTTCCGAGCGATGAGAAAGTAATCATTGTTCGAGTCAATCTGGAGCAACCGTGCACTGAATATCTCCAGGCGGTCAAAAGCATCGAGCAAGAGCCACTCGAGCTCGAATATTTGCATGAAGGAGATCTCGAGACCAACGAGATCACTCTTAAAATTTCGATGAACAAGAGCAAGCACAACAAATTTATTCTAATAAGTGAATCTTTTGATGTGTATTCAAAAAATATGTTGATTAATATCCTTCGAGGCTGCTGAGATGTTTTCGCCTTGTCCGTTGCCGAGATGCCTGGGATACCAATCTATGTTGCATGCCACTGCTTGTCAGCCGACGCAGAGAAAATTGCATTCATCACTAACAAGGATGTGTACTATTATAATGTAATACCCATCGGGCTGACAAATGTTAACATTAAATATTAGCAAATGATAGAGGTAATATTTTTTAAGTAAAGATGAAAAAACACTGAAGTGTACGTGAATAATGTGCTGGTAAAAATAAAACGCTCGAGTAATATATAAAAGATCTAAAAAAAAAACTTTAAAACACTTAGAAAATTTAACATGAGACTTAACCCACTCAAGTACACATTCAGGGCATCCATAAACAAATCTTTAGGCTACCTCCTAACCTAGGATTAAATAAAAGGTAATCGAGAAAAGGTGTTGGCGCTAATTAACATGATGTTCCCTCGAAACACCAAAAAAGTTCAAAAGTTGACCGATCAAATCGCAGGCCCGAGCCAGTTCATCTCAAAATTGAGAGACAAGTGTGCTGCATTTTTCAAAACTTTGAGACGAGAAAAACTTTGTTTAGTCAGATGAATGCGAACAAGCATTTATAAAGTTGAAATACTCCTTAACATCGCCACCACTCCAAAGCGCAAAATCAAAACAAGAGCACTCTCTACGTTTGGGGGTCGAACTTAAAGTCATCAACTCAGTCTTAATCCGAGAGGAGCTATGTAAGTCAAGTCCTCTGAGGCGTTGAGCTTAAGCGCCTAATTATGGAAAAACTAACATTTTCTCTCGCTATTTCTGCTCGCATGATTCGCCCGTAATTTCAAATGCATACAGTCAGACTCATTATTCATCACCCGCTCAAATATGTCGTCACTAGGCCAGATCACTTCGGTCGGCTCCTCAAATGGGTGGTGGAACTCAATGAATTCGATGTATCTTATGTGCCCTAGACCGTAATCAAAGCACAAGCGTTAGTTGATTTCCTGACATATTCTTTTGAACCAAGCGAGCTGGGCGAAAAAGTTGCAGCCGATAGCCAAACATGAATCCTGCACATTGAGGACGCGTCTAGCCAAACTGAGGCGAGTCTCGTTCTTACTTCGACAAGTCTGACCAGGAAACAACTATACCATTCAATCGAAATTTAATTCGAAGTCACCAACACCCAAGTTGAATACAAAACTTTAATTATTATACAGTGTTTCGCTTATGAGAAGGGCGTTTAATATCTTCTGGTGAAATCTATCTTGTAGATAATAGTGTTAAGTGAACAGACAAATAGAGGCCAAAGATAAGATGATGGTTTGAGATAGGAAATCAAGGCCTTCAAGGTCGAAAATATCGCTCAAGAGGACAACCATGTAGATGACCTCCTATCCAAATGCATTCGCTTTGGGGAGGAGATGCATCAAAAGCTTGTCCGACTAACTATTGAAAAAAAACAAGTGATGGAGCTGGAAACCGAAGGGCCAAATAGTTAGGTGGATCCCCACATCCTATACCTTGAGACCGAGAAAATCTCAGAAGAATTTACCGACCCAAAACAAATCAAAATCAAAGCAGCCAATATCTTTTGATCGAAGGAGAGCTTTTACAGAGATCAATCACATCGCTATACCCGGCGTGCATAAAAGAAAACGAGATAGAAGATGTACTCCGAAATATACACTCAAGGGAGTGTGGGAGTCACTCCAGTGTAAAAACTTTAGCATATTGAGTGCAACGACAGGGTTATTTATGCCCGACACTTCTAAAAGATGTCGATAAATTCACAAGAAAATGCAGGCAATGTCAAAAATATGTACCGTTACAACATCAACACACAAACTACAACCCATCGTTGGTAATGGTCTTTCACTAGGAGCTCGACTTCCTTGAATTCTTTCACCCATCGCGAGGCTAGTGCAAATTCCTTCTTGTCGTTGTGGATTATTTTTTCAATTGGATCGAAGCTAAGACGCTCACTCTAATTAGCATAGAGGTCGTTCAGAACTTCATATGGGCAGATCTCATATGCTTTTATGGGCTACCATTGGTAATCATCTTTGAAAAGTCAATTCATCAATCATTACAAGTATTTATTACAAGAAAAATAAAATATAATGAAAAAGTAAAATGCAAAAAAAGAATGTGAAAATCATCCAAAAGCTTTACTTTTTTTTTCATGATTGAAAATTTACAAAGAATTTTCTATATGTTTCTTTACTAGAGATCAAAAAGAAAAAAAGATTCCTAAAGTTACAGATGAAGCCAAAGAAGAGTCAAACATTTGATGACCCCCTCCATCGTCCTCACTGTTGCTTCTGAATCAAAAAGATAGCAATTTTATCCACATCAGCCCGCTCAGAGGAGACCAGCTTCGCATTTATCATCTGGCCGACATCGAAGAACACTCCTACCCTGAGCTGTGTAGTGAGGAGTTCCACTTGCTGAGAGTAGAAGAAAATCCAACAGAGAACTCATCAGACGTCTTCATCATCGCCATTGCATCCTTCAGAGCCCGATTCTCTCCTTAAGTAACAAACAACAACTCTGACAAATTGAGTACTTCGACTTTGACAACCTTTGCAAATTTTTCTATCACATTCATTCTCTCCTTGGCCTTCGACAATTTTTCATTAGCCTCTAGAAGGACCGTCGATTGGAAGTGAGAAGCTACCAGACCATCAACTAACACCGACCGGTCATCTAGCCCGGGCTTGAGAGTTTGCTCATGGATAACCTCCTTGAAATATCAAGATTATATCACATCAGAGATAGTTGAGGGTACAGAGCCATTATAGGAGAATCTAAACATCAATATCTCCTCAAATCGATCAAAGCGAATTGATCATCCGAGATAGTTGATCATTGTCAGAAACCGTTGAGGGTACAGAGCCACGACAAGGGAATCTAAGCATCAATATCTCCACAAATCGATCAAAGCGAATTGATTATCCTAGATAGTGCTCACCTTCGCCCTCTCCCATTGCATTGAAACCCATGCAAGTAGGGTACTCTTCCGCTTCTTTCGGGATCAGGGTGGGGGAAAGGGAGGGACACTCGGATCGGTTGCAAGAATTTTCCATTATGGAGACGCACCACCTATTGGCTAGGAGGCTCGGGCTCAAACTCATTCGCTTGAGCTAACTGCAGAAGGGCGGCCGGCTTCATCCCTTGATGACAAATCAATGAATGTCAGAATGGAAGACTAAGGGGAGACGGATCTCGCTTTCGGTCTTTCTACCGAGGCCTCCCCCTCGACACCGCTCTCAACTTTACTCTTCTCGGTGTCCTCTCAATCTCTTGGTGTTGCACATCTGAAGGACTCGCAACTGATTGAAAGCTTTTAATAGGAGGCATCAGAAGCTCATCTCTCTATAAGGATTAGCTCACAAGTGGCGATCCTTTGAAAACAACAGAAGATTTAGACGTAGAATAAATTATTTCCGCACCTATAAGGCCTTTGTCAGGATGGACCACCAGAGGCAACTCCTGACCTGCTACTTAGGCAGCCTTGGGACGGGAGGTTTCAACACGAGCAGTCATTCATGACTTCTTCTTTACAGCTCGAGAAGCAGCCGTTGTTTCCCTCTTAGCCTCCCCGAGCATCAAAAGCTACCAAATCTGCATCCGTCATTCGCCAAAACACTTCCGATTGTAGCACCCGGTCGACAATTACTAGATCAAGATATTAGTGGACCGAAGGTTATTGCACTTCGACCCATGTTGCTTCCACCAGTACTCGATCCATCACCTTTGAATTGGTGGGAGAGCACGAAATGAAACATTCTAGATATTTCAGTCGAGGGAGAAGAACCGAAGCTTCCTATCCTTCCCCCTATTTTCCAGCCCTAACAAGTGAAGCTTGTCGAGAGAGGCAAACTGAACATAACCGTCCAGGCCAACCCAAAACGAGAAAAAATATGTGAAGAGATCCATCAACCAGTGAATTTCTAACCGTCAGCAGAAAATGACAAAGGTCATAATGGCAGCAGTGAAATTTGGCAGATATGAGTGGGAATAACTTTGTATTGGTTGAAGATAGCTTGCAAGTCACGACAGAGAGGCATTCTCAAGCCACAACGAAATTGATCACTGCAGAAGAGGTCAAGGCCATACAAAGTAATCGCATGGTCGTGCTACCCTAACGACCCGTAGCTTGACTGTGGAATCGCAGACGCAAGCATCCTGTGGTCAATCCACCTCCCCTTGAGTCATAGTCAATCGTTGATTGTGACGATCGCCCCGAAGGCTTTTAGAGAATATTTAAGAGTCAGCAAAAAAAGCACGAAGAGCAGAAAGTTGAGGGAGTGAAGAGAAGTGAAGAGAAAAAGGAAGTAAAAGCATTGCGTCAATCTAGCTCGTCTTTATATATAGAAAAATGAAAGGAGCATAACTATCGTACATGGGTGAAAATAGATTTGCACAAGAATTTCAAAAATGCACTGAAAGAAGAATCATATCAACATATGAAGCAAGACAAGAAAGATAAATTTTATTTCAAAAAAAAAAAAATATTACAAATTTCATTTGGAAGCTAGTCTAAGAAAAATATTTGACAAGGGAAACGTCTACCGCTTCAATCAAGACATAACCCCGCCAATGCAGTCTCTATACAAAACCTATCCCCTAACTTGATTTCGTTCACCCAATCTCTCTTGGCTTGAGCCCGAAGTATGAGGCATGTATCGTAGATGCCCGACAATTCTTGGTGGAGAGCGGTCATCTCCTCCTCCATCCTCTCCAATTTCTCCAATTGAACCAGCGGCTAGCATATCTACTCCTCTCATTGAATCCCAACCGACCGAGCAAAGTTCTCAATCTTGTCTCCACGGTGAGCCAACCACCGAGGGATGTTCGGCGTCCATTAGTTGCTTTTTCACGGGCCTTACAAAGACTGCTCGGGCGTTCAATCCCACCATCGTCGCTCAGGGGGCGGCTGCTTTTGCAGGTGCCTGGGCAGCCACCGCTAGCGTCGTGGTCGAAATTCCACCAACATTTGTTAAAGGCAAGTCATCACCCGAGTCTAGTGGGCCAACTAAATCAAAAGATATCATAAAGAAAAGGAGACCAAGAAAAAAAATCAAAACCTAACAAATAAGACCGAGTCTCCTCATACCAATGAATCGATCTCACTCAAATCATGAAACAGACATGACACCCTTACTAGGTAGCGTCAGGGCACCAGCAACTTCTTACGTCCAGTGCGGCGGCAAAGCACCACCTTATTCGACTTCTTGTGCGGTATATTCAGTCGACATGTCATGTGTCGCAATAGAAGATTGAGTCGCCATACCGATCGCCTGAATGTTCCTCCACCAAGGACCAAGGAACAAATCAGATGACCCCAAATGATCCGCTGACACAATCACTTTTCTATTATCAACATCGGTTTTCTTCTTTTCAGCTTCCAAGCAATATTGTTCTTCTAGAAGGCGACACAAATCATGTCTTTGTTGGGGGGACTGACCGAGGATTTGACGCATTCTCCATGACAATACTTGAAAATCAATCAATCCAAATGAGAAGAGATACAAAGAAAATATAAAATATCAACTAGTCCTATCATGCCTTATTTATAAATGATAAAAGATGCGAAAATTAAGAGAGTTCAATTATTGAATCATTAATTAAGAATTAATGTTATATACTATTTACATTAAATTCCCTTATTATTATCACATCATAGCTTTTAAGAAGTATGAGAATCGAAGAACTAAAACATGCACATTGAAAATGTGTCGGCGCTAATCCTGAGGTGATCTAACGGCCCTGAGGAGAGGAGTAGAACGAAGCATCCCCACTGACAGGAGACAAGGAGGTCCACTTATCCTATAAGACTTAATCATCCCAGCCAAAGCAAGTAATGTCAAAGTCGGCCGAGTTAGGAAAGATGATTGGATAACCAGAATTCGAGCAGTCAATCATAAATAGTACAAAGAGACATCCAAGTCAACTGACAAGAAGAAGCGAATTCGATGAAAGATCCAGCCCCTCATCATCTCCAATTATATCTCGAGTCTCCAGAAGCTCCCCAATATATTATCAAGGGTAGTCAAAGAATAATTTAGCCGACCGAGCCAGTCCTGCTGACCCGAAGTCAATTGATCTCAGCCTACCACCAACACTAACAAAGCCCACTTGATCAATCTGAACCTGTCGATCTGTAGCAATACAAACTCAACTGAACAGTCTAAAAAGCAATCGAGCGATATAAACTCATACATGTAACTTATGATATCTTGTACAACCCCCATTAAAATAGGGGTAAAAAGGTAATATCATCATATTGTATTCTCTCCATTATAAATAAAGATATCATTTCATGTACAAAGAAGGACAAATATACCCGATTTTAGAGTTGGATCAATAAGTGGTAGAATTTAAACTTTAATAAGTGGTAGAATTTTAAAGCTTTTTTGCAATTTGCTTGTATTCATTTATTTAAAGTTTGATCAATTGAAATGAGCACTAGTTTAGATTTCAAGCTCGATTCAATTTCAAGTCGAGCTTGCTTGAAATCAAATAAAACAAGCCGGAATCGATTTTAACATGCATCAAATCCTTCAAGTTGATTCTAGCTAGGCTCGAAATCAGATCTTTCACAACCAGGGCCCCAATGCGTGTCTAACACATTTAAAATAAGG